ATTATCCAAAAAATAGTCTATTCCAAAAATTATAACATCAAATAATGGGGCCAAATATGGGCTAAATGTAAGCTGAAATAATTTCTTATAATGACATCTAGGGGTGGTCATGGTTCCATTTGGTTCTAATTCCAATATAGCCGAATTGAACCATGAGTCAATGGTTTTTTTTTTTTTTGTTTATAATAGAACAAAATGGTTTTTTTTTTTTTAAATGGAACCAAATCAGAATCGAACCATACGGTTTTGGTTTGGTTCTAATTTCATTATTGATTGAAAGGAAAAAAAAACATTTGAGAAAGAAGAGTCGAAGGTTGATGTTTTAATTTTAGAAACACATGCGATGATAGGCGGTAGGTGGTAGTTATTGATCTCCATTTGAGAATCGGTGTATAAATTGAAAATGAGAAACAAATTAGGGTATGGGTCTTCAAAATGAATCAAGTCTCCATATTGAGAAATGAGAAGTCAAAGGTACATGACCTTTTTGTCCTATTTCAATTAAAATTTGAATTTTTTTTGTGTGAATTTCACTCATTTGTAAATAGGTATAAAATAATAAAATTTTAATATTGAGTTTTGTTTTTGTTTCTAGAACTAGAATCGTACCAAAATCAGAATCAAATGGTTCTCAATTCTAAAAATCAGAACCGCTTTTTTTTTTCTCTCTCTAACCAAACCGAACCAAACAGCTCGATTTGATTATTTTGACCTTTTTCTTAACACTATTCACCAATAATTTAATCATGGCTCATTGAATTAACCTTTTTCTTAACACTATGCACCAATAATTTAATCATGGCTCATTGAATTTCATAAAAGTCGGATGTTTCTTTCTTGTCATTTCAAAAAACATTATTTGTAAAGCGGGACCTCGTACTCACTCCAACTTGAACGATGTGCCCACATCTTTATTGTTCACATTTTCAGGTATGTTCGACGATGAATGTTTTTTGTTTTTGTTCTTGTAAAGAAGAAAATTAAATTAGAAGTCCATTCATTTCATTATGCAACAATGTTCAATAACGTACTAGAAGTGCATTCCTAGTTTTACCCTCGGAAAATAAAATCTTTAACAAGATGAAGATATGTCTTATTTTATAGAGAACTTTGAATACAAGAAATTAACGAAATCCTGTTTTTAAACTGTTTTCTTGTACTTCGAGCGAAAAAAATAAAATAATAATAATAATAATAATAATAATAATAATAATAATAATAATAATAATAAAATTGGAGCAGAATAGAAGAAAACCGGTCTTTTAGAGGTAAATGTACAAGAACTCCAAAAATACAAGGACCTACTTGCAAAAACCTCCCAAATTATTCGTTTCATTTTTCTCATTTTCTCTCCACTTCCCTCCATATCTATACGAACCAAAATTCCCTCTCCTCCCCCAGTCACACTTTCACCATAGAAAATTACAAAACCCTTATTTTCCCCTCCCTCCCCTTGAATAGATCAATTAGACTTAATTGATTGAATTAATTAAATACTTGTTTAAATGGCTGGGCAAGGAGCCCCGACCAGCGAAGCGGCGGCTACTCCTCCAGCTGCGGCGGGGAATGGTCAGATTATCTACCAGCAGCAGACGCCTCCAACGGCTATCAGGCGGCACCTCCCCTTCGAATCCATGAAGCCGCCGTTTGCTCCTCACAATGACTACCACCATTTCTATACTCCCGGACGAGCTCCCGCCTCCTCCTCAAATCATCCTCCAGATGCTGTTGTAGTCAAGTCTCCAGTGCGTCCTCATTCTCTAATATACGTTCTTTCTCATTGAATTTGCTTACTTTTTGGAATTATCTTTATTCTGTTACTAATTTCTTGGATGAACGTAAATTCACTACTATAATTGTTTATATTTTAGATAGGTTTATGTCAAATTCGAGCTATAATTTTTATATTATTTTACTTACTGAGCATATAGTTTGTTATATTTTTAATCACGATGTTGATAGATATATTTACATATAGAGCAAAACGTAGTACATCTATAATCCGCAAATGAAATTGCATTCCTTATTACTTCCAAAATTCAACACCAAAGTCTAGGAACGTGGCAGAGCCTTGATGCAACTAGAATTCAACTGCAAGAGAATTCATATGCTTCAATTCTCCTGGCAGTTGTATATTTTAGTTTGCCAGTCAATGACCGAGCTATTATTGTACAGAATTTTTAATTCATAACCTCTTACTCCAGATTTACACATGTTTCCCATTTTATTTAAAACAACTGCTAGTCACAGGAAGTTGAACTCTCTTTTATGTTTATTTTGGTTTGTAGACTCCCGTAAGGATATGTGTTATATAACGCGTGCAAAAAAAAAAAAAAAATTATTAATATGTCCATGTTAATTGGAATGACAGTTAGAACAGCTTGTTGCATTGCAAATGAGGTTTATTTGATTTTCTTTTACTGTTTTCCCTTGTGGCACCTCGTGAAATTTGTATATTTTATTTCGATCATTTTGTTCTTGGTTCCTTTACTAACTCCAATATTTCCAACTAAATGGTGTCTCTCAGGCTTTAAAGCGAAAAAAGGGGGTTGAAAACAATAAGTTTGAGTCTAGTGAGAAGACAGCTAGTCTTGCATACAATGATGCGGCTAGCAGTCCCCTCCTTACACCTATATCTGGGAAAGGAGGAAAGATAGCTGGCAGGTCAAAGGTCACAAAGAACAATAGATCTGCATCTCCAACTCCTGCCTCCAGTGTTGGTGAGATACATTCTTCTAGTATCTTCAGAGCTGATTAATATTTAACTTATCAACAGCAGTGGGATTATTTTCTTGATAGAAATTGCATGAGAACAGTTACAAGTGCTTTATTTTGAGCCCAAATATCAGCAGTTGTTGACCATTGGAATATTTTTTATAAATTCACGGTTTCATTCGTATTGCAACATATAACATGATGAATTTTTTTATTTACAGATACTCCCTTAGCTCTTACTCCTGCTGGCAGCTGCCGCTATGATAGTTCCTTGAGTAATCTTGTTACCTAATATTTGGGATTTGGATTATCAACCTTTAGTTGGACAAGTGATAAATATATGTCATGCTTCTCAGGTCTTCTAACAAAGAAATTCATCAACTTGCTAAAGTACGCAGAAGATGGTATTCTCGATTTAAACAAAGCTGCAGACACTTTGCAGGTGATTTATCTGCTAGAGTAGTTGTCTTTTCAGATTCAGAAATTCATTGCAGTTGTGGTTGTACAGGTGCAGAAGAGACGGATATATGACATAACTAATGTCCTTGAAGGAATTGGTCTTATTGAAAAGAAGTTCAAGAACAGAATTCACTGGAAGTAAGTCTGTATTTCATTTACATGAAAACTCGGCATAATGCTTTTACCTTTCACTGGAGCATATTAATATCAATAAAGGTAGTGACATTTGAAGATTGAAACTTAATGAAGATTCTTATTAATTACTCATAGGGGATTTGATCCTTCAAGACCTGGACAAGTGGACAGTGACAGTACTCTTTTGCAGGTACGTGGAAGAAGAAAGGATAAACCTCAAATATTTCATGTATTTTGTTCCATATATTGTCCATTGAGTATAATTAAACTTGGACTTTCCTAAGCATTCATGCATCTTGACATTTCATGTATTTTGATATTTTTCTTTTCCATTTATCTGCAATTTTATTGTATTATAAGTTTACTTGTACAATATTAGGTTAAGCCTCGTTGCCAATAAAGTTGGGTTGGCTTTTGCTTGTAAAAAGTCAAATTAAATTTGCTTACACGCGAATCATTAGCTTTGTGATTCCTTCTTGTCTGTTTATAGGCAGAAATTGAGAACCTATCCATGGACGAAAGAGGACTAGATGAGCGAACAAGGTTAAGGATTTATTATATTGTTAAATAATACATGCTGCTTTGTTCAAATTGTTGTGTATGTTGATCTTTCAACCTGTTGCAGAGAAATGCAAGAAAAATTGAGGGATTTGAGTGAAGATGAAAATAATCAAAGGTAAAATTCTGCCTAGCATTATTTGAACTGAGTAATACAAAATTCCTTTTCACTAATACACATTTTAATGGTGACTATTTTAGATGGCTTTTTGTGACTGAAGACGATATCAAAGGATTGCCTTGTTTCAAGGTCCATTTTTCTTGTCCTTTTGTAATGTGTAGCACCATTCTTTATTATCATGATGATTGATAGAAGAAGAGATGAATATTTCTGTCTGACAAATGCATTATCTATCCATTATGTACAGATTTCTATAGTGATTAACTTTTCAGGATTTGGTTCTGACAGGATGAAACCCTGATAGCAATTAAAGCTCCACACGGGACCACCCTTGAAGTTCCAGATCCCGATGAGGTAAAGCTAGAAAATGGAAAGCTTTACTGTGGATGTCTCCGATTATGAAGATTTTTTTTTTGGTCATATATAGGCTGTTGATTACCCACAAAGGAGATACAGAATAATACTTAGAAGCACAATGGGTCCTATCGATGTTTACCTTGTTAGGTACTATTACAATTTCCTTTTTGATGCTCCCTTGACATGTTAAGCACCCTCCCTTATTGTCCATATCTTTTTGTTTTCGTCAATTTTTTCCCTTATTGGAAACCTCTTCCACCAAAACTTCAGTCAATTTGAGGAGAAGTTTGAAGAGATAAATGATGGTGAACCATCTACAAGCTTGCTTCTTGGTTCAAGTGAAAATCCCACAACACAAGGAGCCTTGCTGGCAAGCAGTGGGAAGGAGATTGAAGCTCAAGCCCAAGATAACCATAGAATAAGCTCTGATTTTGGTGCTTTACAAGAGTGTGCTGGAGGAATGACGAAGATTGTCCCTTCAAATATTGATGTAAGTGTGGCTGTTCTAAATGTAAATGTTTAACATGGTGTGGATATACACAATATCTATAATATATTAAATATTGTATCAAGTGAGAATCATTTTTTAGACGATTTTAACCCTATTAAAATTCAATTATCTCAATATTACCATATTTTTCTTTTTTCAATACGTAATAAATTTTACAAAATCCTTGTTGTGTGAATTTTGTGTTATTATTTTTTAATTAATTAACATTCACATTAATCTAGATTTAATAAATCTTGACTTGATGAATATTGATCTATATGAATTTAGAGTTATTATAGATGAATATATTTTTATTCGTGTATTTAGGAATTTTAATGGGTGTTTAAATTCATGTATTAGCAATTAATTTTTATGTACCAAATGTAGTGTAAAAATGTTGTTCATTTGTAGTATTTCATTATCACAAAAAATTGAATTTGAATCACAAAAGTTGAGTTTTGAAAGTACAATTTTCTTTTCTTAAATTTCTATCCTAAATTTTATTTTCTTTAGTTTGTTTGAGATTCATCAAATCCTCTCAAAAAATTGGTATCAAATATTACTTTTACAACACTTATAAAGTATTTCAGAATAACGTGCAATGCACGTTCAACTATAACTAGTTTATATAAAAGTGAACTTAGGAAGCAATTTCCAATTTGTGAAAGGATAAATGTAATAAGATGCGTGACTGACCAACTATGCTAGAATGAATAAGATAAAACTGAGAACCAAAATGATTCATTTAGTCAATAGTGAGTGCGAATAGAGATGTGCCTGAGCGATTGGAGATAAATGATTCATGTAATCGATTCCAAATATTTTTTGGAATAGTCTTGTTGCAACAATGTGACTGAGATAAAGTGCTTGACTCACTGCTGTTCAGTTAATCTGTTAAAGGTTTTATAAATCATATTGCTGTGGCATTTTCTCCAAATTTAATTAAACATATATTTGATTTATATCTAAGAGTATATTTATTCTATCTGAATGTACAATTCTTTTTTTGTTGCCACAGGATGATGCAGATTACTGGCTTCTAACAGATGCAGATGTCAGCATCACAGACATGTGGAAGACAGATTGTATCCTTCTTCGAGTGCTCCTCTTAATTTCAACAGATTTTTTTTTTCCTTTTTAACTGCTAATTCCTTAACTACAATTGCAGCTGTTGTAGGGTGGAATGGAGTCGATATGCTTGATGACGAGTTTGGAATGGCTTCTATCGTTACGCCAAGGCCACAGACTCCACCTTCTGGTGTTGCTGATGTGCCTAATGTTGTTAATTTGCCACCTAGGTGATTTGGCTTTGTTTGATTGTTTGGACAAGCCTTACCATGTCGACTCGAGAGGGTAAAGAAGTCATTGCCATTATTTGTTGGTAGATTGCTAATTCATTTCAGTCGTTTGGAGACACATAATGACATAATGCATGAGGCAATGAACTTTGCAATGAAAGAAGGAAAAACAGGAGGACGAGGAACATGGCAATATGATTCGATTGTACATCTGAGCAACCTTCAGCTATTCAGAGGTAAATAAACTTTTCATTTTAGCGATTCTGTGTAATGTTATGGATACACATGAAGCAGTATCGGAGTTTGCTTTGTGAATCTGTTTCGGAAGAGAATAGGGAAGAATAGAATAAAAATCAAAGACACGTGGATTACTGTATCTCATTTGCTGAAATTTCAGATAGGAACTGTAATAACTTCAATTATATCCTTAGCCTCTGGTATGAAGTATTTGGTAGTGAAGAGATAATGTGCTCTCATCTTTGTGCAGTTTAGAAATGAAATGAAAGGAGTACGTATTTGCTAGTAATTTTCTGTCATTTAATGACAGTTTTCATTCTATATATCTATTTAACTCTTCTATTTGAGTCCATTATTTCCTAGGCGTTTTTGGAATTTTACCGTTAGTCTATAAAGAAAAAGAGAAACAAGAAAATAGTGTAATTGGGGTTTTAGCTTGAACCACTGGCTAATAAACTTGTGCTTGATACTAGGTGGCCACGGCTCACAAGCCGTTTGCAACTGGGCAACCAGTACCACCTTTGTGTGATCGAGGCTGTCTCGGCGGATTGTATTTGGGAGGATATGGTTCAGGCAAGGCCTCGTGTTGTTGAACCGTAATTCACTTATATCCATAATAATTACAAATGAGGAACCCACAGAAGATTACTTGTTTGAAGTCATAATTCTTGTACACACATCTAACAATAATAGGCATTCTACTTTGACAAACATCTCTAAATTTCTTCTCTACACACACTTCTAGCTAACACAAGCATACCAATAGAGCACATCTAGATACCTCCAAGCCACCCCACCCCACCCCTACATATTGTTGGCATCATTTTTACTCGAGTTTTCAGACATGAAATGTTTTATTTCTTCCAACACTTTGTTTGCCAATTCTGAGAAAGGGTCATTTGTGAAGAAACCATGTTGTTTTCCTTGGTATTCAACATATTTAATTTTCTTTCCTATTTCTTCAAGTCTTTTTGCGTAGTCCTCAATTCTGTCCTTCATCACTTCACATTCTCCTGCCATCACCAACATTGGGTCAAGCATTATTGATTCAAGTTTTGGGCTATAAGGCCCAAATGGGTTTGCCAGGGGATGGTCTGCAGTGTCTCCAGCTGGTATTGACAGCCTCCAAAATCTGTTAGTTAAGAGAAAATTAGAAAGAAATCATGGTATATGATTGTACGTTTGTTAAACGGTATAGGATCGAACCACGACCAACACGTAGAACAAAATTTTGATACATAATGAATAGTGAAGGTCTTGGAGTTAGACAATTATAAGTAATCCTTGTACAACAACTCTTTGATCAAACAAATATCAAGATTGGATGAGACGATTGTGACGAGGACATAAGGTTCAAAGAGCACATAGATATTGAGGGTAATGTCTTGTCCCTTGACCTGACAATTGTCATACTTCAATATATAAAACTATTCATACTTATCGTTTGCGAGGTAACACTTATCCAAATTTAATCCCATCAATAATCCTATCAATCAATATGTTTAATGAAGAATTAATTTTGCTTTTGACTGACGGCCAATATTGTTTATGGCACATGAATATGGGTCATCTTTTATAATGATAATTAGCCACTATCTAATAATGGGAATTAAAAGGTGTATTCCACATAGATTACCTGTTTTTAGATGATTTTTGACCCTACAAAGATCTTCTTAAAAGGGGACAATACATGATCAAATGAAGCATGCCAATTCCCAAATATAGATAATTGCTAATGTTTGCGACTATTTTTGATAAAATCAGAAATGTGACACTTCAATCATGCCTGAGTTTGAAGATATTTTGCAATTTGATTGAGATTATTCACATTTCACTTGCTTCCGCAAATTAAAGATTATTAATTTTCTAAGAAAAGAAGGGTCAAATACATTGGCCATCACTATTAAATTTTCCATTGATTACTAAACTTTATTTTGTTTTGAATTAAATCTTGAAAATATGCTTTGATTTGAACAAATTCGGTTTAAACTCATTGTTACGACCATGCTTGTTAATTTGACTAACGGAAAAGATGACGTTACTAATTAGCTACTTGTCAACGAGGTTGTCATACCCAACTTTTTCGCTAGTGAAATTTACGTATATTGACATATTGACCAACTAATTTTAAGTTCAATTATCTAATTTGATGACTTCAATGATCTAATTTAAAATAAAAAGCAACTTCTTAGTATCAGAAATCACTTCTAACTATCTAAAAGCACGCCAAAGAGGCCATGACTATCTTCAAGTAGAGAGAGAGAGAGAGAGAGAGAGAGAGAGAGAGGAATCACATATTAACAAGGTGCAAAATATTTTGCCACTCGCATGATGAATTTTGTACGCAAAGTAGATTGGATTAAGCTATACAAATATAACTCTTATTACACATTTCGTCCTTAATTTTTTTGTATACCGTCAATCCAATATACTAAGTTTATTCTTTTATAAAATTATTAGGATTGTGACAAGCACTATTACATAACATGATAAACACCTAGAGAGGGTCCAAACAACTTTCAAAGGTATATTCCATAAAATCACAGGTCCACCTCCCATGAGAAAGGGGTGGAAGCTAGATAAGATAGAATAGCCAATCTTAGGATTGTGGCTATTAGTGGATTCCTAGATATTCACACTAAGTCCACATTCAAAGGGCCAACAATATTAATCTTTTCACAACCAATCACATAGAGATAGATTGAGGCATTGCATGTGTGCAAGAATTATGTTCAACTCCCACACTCCATCTCTTGTCTTAATCGCACTAACACTTTTAGCAATCCCTATCATTATTATTCAAGTCATTTTCATTAAAAAGAATCAATATCCAATTATTCATTTTGACTTGATTAAGGTACGATTCCGAATTGTAATCACATAAATTTTTTTGTTCTTTAACAAGATACGATGTCTACATACATTGGACCATGTTTAACACAATTTTTTCAAATACTTTTTTCAAGTGGTGTGTATATATATACTGTCCGAAAAATGACCTAAAAGAGTGTATTTAATGAAGGAAAAAAGGTCAAATTACGAAAAAAATTATCATACTTCTATTTTGCAATGAAAAGAAATTTTATTTTGATAGAGCACGACCTTGACTGTTCCGAATAGAACAACTAAAAAGGAAAAGTCGAATATTATAGTGTAATCATGGATTTTAGTCCATGTGCAATCATTAATCATCATCCGAATCAAATGCATGAAATTAAAAAGAATATGTGTAATGCAATTATGCATGCAATGCAAATTTGGACGTAAAACAAAAATATAATAAATTCCTTACCTGTCAAGAATCTCCAAGTTCAGGTAGGGTTCCGGCGGACCCTCGACTTCCGATTTGGTTCTCTCAGTACCACCAAAAAATGGTGCCATTAGCACATAACCCCTAACCCTTACTGGGCTCAACTCCGGCGACCCGGGTCCGAGCTTAACCGCCAAATGGTGCGCTAGGTTTCCACCTGAGGAGTCTCCCACTATGAAAACCCGGTCAAAATCAACCCCATCAGATAACCATGGATCAGAACTGTTCAATAGAGCCTGAGTTTGGAGCCATTTAACCGCAGCCATTGCATCATCCATGGCTGCCGGAAGGCGGTGCTCCGGCGCCAGGCGGTAGTCTGCGGAGATAACCACCGCGGGTAGTGCTGAAGAGAGGCGGAGGCAGCTGTTGTGACAGTTGGGCCATGTGCGTGAACCAAGACAGAAGCCTCCGCCGTGGAAGAAGTATAGAATTGGGAGTTTGGCTGCTGCTGCTCGCGGCTTGTAGAGGCGGAGGAAAAGATTGTGTTTCTTATCAAATAGACAATCTTTCCATATTGCAGAGCCATCGTCCTGGACTTTAGTGGGGAAATTTGTTACCTGTTAAACGCAAAATCACACTTCGATTAAACACGAAAATAATACTCAAAAAAGTTTGGACGACTCGTCTTAACAAGATAGATCGATAATACCTCGGACCGGAAAATGGAGCCGTCGCTGTAAACTTGGATTATACCTAGACAATTTTCCACAAGATGAGCAAGTGAACCCATTTTTCTTTTCCTCTGTGTGTGTATAGGAGTTTCTTCTGGTGGAGAAGATGATTAACAGACAAGCAAAACAAACGAAGAAGATGAATAAATAGGCAGGAAATTATGGGTCATGCAAGGAATAAATAAATGTTTAAAGGTTATTTTTGTAATTATGTTAGGCTGATGCGGACAAGATTTGACTACTTACGTCCACGTCACTTTAATTTTTTAGTATCGCCTTTTTTTCGCACAAACAAGATGTAATAATTAAATGAAAAGGATAGAAATAAAAATACAACGAAACAAACGTTGAGACGACAAATAAAAAAAAAAAGGGATTAAAATCAAATTTTAATTTAAGTCAAAGTCAAACAATCAATATTAACCACGTCTTTCATGGATCCCACAGCTTTTTAAACGCACATTTCAAAAATTTCTATAATAATTTGCTAAAAATCTAATTTTAATCCTCGCTAAACACCCATTAGAACATTTTGTGCAATTAACCATTTTTTCTAATTTTAAATAAATAATTCCTTTATCAAATCCAAAATGAAAATTAGTAAGTTATCAAGCAGGACTAATTAAATTTAAGATTAATGCTGGTCGGCCAGGGTGAAGGACCGACCAGAATCCAGGTGGCTGAGGTGATGACACCTCAGCCTCTGATTTAAAGGAAGAGGACCCCACATGAATTAAAATCAAGGGTCGAGGCCCTGGATTTGGGCCTGATTTTGGCNAGGAGAGATGGCCGAGTGGTTCAAGGCGTAGCATTGGAACTGCTATGTAGGCTTTTGTTTACCGAGGGTTCGAATCCCTCTCTTTCCGTAACTTCACCTAATCAACTAATGTTACTGACCGAAATGTATTAAATCGAAATGGAAATCATTATTCCAACCGTTATCCTCTACTACTAATAGAGACAGATAGTTAATTTGTCATTATATCAGTCTGGTAGGAATTTCTGCTTATTAGATCTAGAACCCTCCCTAGCTGTTAGCAATTTCACGTGTTCGCGAATGTTGTTCAAAAGGCTTCTTCTCGAACTAGTGTTGGTAAACGAGTTATTAAAAGAAAAATTATTTGTAAACATTGCTCAAACACGATTTTACAATTTATAAAATCTTTGAAATTAAAAAATTAAGCTTCTGTTCGGTAGGGATTAAAATCAGATTTTTAGTATGTTTTGATAGAGTTTGATTAAAAGTGTGGTTAAAAAGTTGTGAATCCATGAAATATATAGTTAAAATTAATTGTTGACTTTGACTTAAATTAAAATTTTAATTACCACAAAATAGGGACTAAATCAATACTTTGCTTTTATATTTAATTGATTCGTTGTACTAACATTATCAAGTACGATTAATAATTCATAAAATTTTAAATATCGACCATACATCTCTAGTGCACTAAAAGAGGCCCCATCCTACACCAACGTGCAATCACAATCACAATCATAATCATAATCATAAATTATTCCCAAGGGAATTTTCAACCAAAAATATTCCACGTGAAATGTTAGCACTTTGAATTAGAGAAAAATGAATAATTGGACAAAGTGTGGGATAATGCTATTAGTCCACGTTTTTCTACCGTTCTTCAAAAAAATATATTCTAAAACTCATTTTCAACAACAGTCTCACAATAAAATATTTTGCACGTAAAATTCAAAATTTTTCCTACAAAAATAAATTTTGGAATAGTGATTTTGAGCAACGGGACATCATTTTCAATTCTATTAGGTCCAATTTCAAAAAAAAAAAAAAAAAATCCCATTGCCCAACTATTCACCTTCCTCTATAATATAAGACCAATTGAAACCAGACCCTCGTATACACGCTATTAAAAAATGTTAGACGAAAGCCAAGATTTGGAGTTCGATACATTTTCACTATGTTACCTTAGTTAAATCCACCAACTCATATGCTACCGTCAAAATGGTTGTTCTTTCTTTCTTTCTCCCGTTCCTTTTTCTCGTGTGTCAAATGTATTTTTCACACAATACTAAATAGAATTAAAAATTTATTTTAAAAAAAATACGAAAACGTTTGTACAAATTCTCAATTGTGGGTTTGATATGAAGTATTGAATAATACAACGTACCAAACATGTAAGATAAAATTAGGGAAAAAATTCGGGGAAAAATCTTTCATGCATTCATGTGTGAACATTCAACATTTTCATCAAATGCAAGGAGAAAAATCTTTTTATAGGATCCACACCTATCCTATGACTTGTTTGTCTTTCTCTCATGTTAACTTTTTTATGAGTTGACTTGCATTTTCCTTTATTATAAGCCAATAATTTTTACACTTCTCTGCATCTTTTATCCAAATCTTTTCCAGAATATTCTCTTCGTTTGTGTCCACTAGATTTTGTATCGTGGATTCAATAAGAGTTATGCGCACCCCATTTACCACTTCGTTTATAGAATTTACACTTAGGGTGCGTTTAATTGTCAATATTTTTCCTGAAAAATGAATTTTTTCCACCTAAATTTTCACTTTTGTGCTATTTGATTAACAATTTTTTCCACGAAAAATATTTTCATACTTTTGGTCACATGACCATATTTTCATACTTTTTAAACAAATTCTATGTTTGCAATCAAACACACCCTTGAAAAAATCTCACACAATCTTCCACAAAATACATTTAATCCTGCCGCTACAATTTTGCCACCCAGGCATCTGTACACCAGGGTGACAAGAAAATCAACGGATTCTCCCATTGAATGCTATCAGACAACGGTGAAGAGTAAAGAAAAAGTTGAGGTTACAAGATTTTCTAGTGCTATAGAAGTATAAAACAGGACAAAAAAACAGTACACAGTAATTGCTAAAGACACAATACTATCTCAATGCATTCCTACGGTACGACATTTAACAGAGACTTGCATCAGTAGACATAATTTTTCATGCTAACGAGGTAAGGTCTTTCAAAATTTAACATTAAACAGATGTCGAGGAGAATTTAAAAGCAAAATAAAAATAGTGTTCTATTAATGTATTTCAAACACAAAGTTATGCCATTTAATGTTCGGAAAATCTTCGGTAACTCGACTGCTTGTAAATAGATAGAATATCAGTCGTGGCATCAGTAGGTACATAGTAGTTCACTTACAGACAAACGTGAGGTGGGATGAGCTTTCCTGGATTCATGATGCCGTTGGGATCTAAAGCGTCTTTTATCCTTTTCATTGCCCTCAAATTCTCGATTCCTAGTTCTTTCTCGAGGTACTGGAATATATAGATAAAACAATCAGAACCATCTTCAGGGTGATATTTTTGAACTAGAGGAGAACATAGACATAGACATGGAGTTAAAAACACTACTCATTATTGAACTTCCAGCGAAATTTCATGTTAGTTGACATGAAATAGCCGACAAGCTGAAATGGTAGTCTAGTTGTCATGTTGTTTTTAATCTACCTCTTTCGACATCTTCTATCAAGAAACAATCTTATGAACTGAACATCTTTTGGTCTACACAAAACATGTCTCGAATATCTAACCCATCATTCCCAAAATGTCACGAGGTAGATGGGATTTGTATGTGTGCTGTTGTCTATAAGTCAACGTGTCAACAGTACTAAGAGTATCAGCACATTTGATAATACCTTCATTTTCCCGGTGCCAACGCCATGTTCACCAGTGCATGTTCCTGATTAGCCATGGAATCAAATGATTAGAAAACATCGTAATGGGATATCTTTTTCTCAAATTTTCACACGATTCCACACTCTATACTGAATTCCACAATACATAAAAGCCAGTGCAGGAGTTGGGAGTAACTCAAGCATATAGTCCTATTCATCATTTTTGGCATTCAGATGTTAAAAACTACGTCGTTTGCAAAAAGAGTTACTCAGTTTATACACATAAATAACAGAAACATGCAGAATTAAGTGCATATCCATTTATTTTAATCCTCGACTAAAATCTAGTGAAAACAGAGGTAGCTACCAAGTAACTTAAAGAACGGAAAGGATGCCACTCAATTTACTGTATCATCATGGATGTGGCACACTAATTCACCGTGAATGAACTGGTACTCGACAGGACCATCATTGAATATACCATTCTTCTTATCAAAATGTCGACGGATTTTTAACATAAACTAACATACCCTGTCAAGTATCAGAAAGACGTATATTCAAGAGTAAGTCAGGGTGGAAATGGATTGTGACTAATACAGAAGGATATGGTAAGGGTATCCTAAGAACTAATAAGCTTTGCTGCCTTCCATATTTAAGAAAAAGGAAGCCCAAATTAGTGGCTTTCTAGTTCAGTAGCTTAGAGGCTGAATAATTGCATGCTCTGAATAGGCTTCACTAATGTAAGCTAGCATCGAATAAGCATAGCTAAGCTAAGAATAGGATCCACATGTGTAACTTGTCTAAATTTCACAAGTTCTTTCTTGTATTCTTGTTAGGAGGTAAGGCCCAACTTCCCCTTCTAGTACTTCATTTCTATATTAATAAACGGGTAGAGAAAATGCCAAACCCCACATTACACTATTGGGTAGGAGCCTAAAAACTCCTACCCCAGCAGAAGTGGTTTACTTTATAAAAAAAAATTGGTATTACATGCTGGTGAGTATGTAAGAGAATATGCAAGCTCCTTTTCCCACATTATTAGCATTTAGTGTATTATAACATGATTAATGGACAGGGAAGTATATGAGAACACTTCATTAGTCTGAAGAAGAAACGTTAATAATAGAAATTTCTGGCTGAAAAAAAATTAGAGTTTGCTTAAGCAGCTCATGCTATACCTTCCATGGCTAAAGCTGTATGCACCATGAAGTGGTTTAATCTCTCAGCTTCCTTCCTTTGTTCCTCTTGGTCAGGATCAAATAGAATCACAGTGTGGAAGTTTCCATCACCAGCATGAGCAATGACGGTGCTGTTAAAGCATATAAAATGTTAAAATGTAAGAGCATAAGAAAAGCAAGGCATAGAAACAAGGTTTACTAACTCCTAAACATCTCCACAGAGAAAAACTATACCATACTAAAGATGAAGAATCCAGCTCTTGCTTAGATATTGATATCAAATCTGCAAGGCTTGATAGCGGAACACATACATCCTGCTTGATAACAAAATACCTCAGTTTTCCAAGTTCAATGAGAGGTCAAAAAGCAACTTACTATGGTTAGCTAAGAACTAAAAAGATCCATGAATTATTTGAAATCTAGAAGGCTAAGAAGCATGAAATAGCCAGGTGCAGAGAGGGATCAAAGTGAGAAGGGGAGGGATTACCAAAACTACCACATCCAAAACCTAAACCTTTTACGCTTTACCTGGACACGCACATCAATTGTTTCTAGCCTAAAAATATGGATGTCCAATACAGAGGGAAAAACTTACCGTTATCATTGCTTCAAAATTTGGTTCCATAGCAAAGCATGCCCAAAGGGCCTCCTTTCTTATCTACATGTAAAACAAATTTAAAAGATTAGCAAAACTAGAGAAAAAGAAAAGCATCATAATTATCTAAAATACAGAAAAAAAAAAAAAGTTAATTTATGGGAAGTTTCTTAAATCCCTTCAGGATCAAAATCGATTTTCATGGGAGGAAACACGGAAGGTAAAAATCATTTAGAAAGATATAGGATACAAGAGAAATTTATTAAAGCAAGGAAAAATCTTGTCCAATAAACAGGTCCATTTGAAACTAACTAAGGTATGATTAAGGCTACTGGCTGATGTTATGAATTTAACTGATAAAAATTGGGATAGAAATTGTATTTTGGTGTGAAGAAATACTACAGCGTTTTATAACTAGTCTAGCGTTTACAATGAAGGAATAATACCAGCCTTTCTACATTAACGTACTATGGAATGAAAACCCTATGCTGCATATTTTCTTTATACATGCCCAAAGAAGCAAAAATATCCATAAATGCGTTATTCAAATAGTTTTAAAACTCTAAATATTAAAATGATGATTAAAAGGTAATTTATTATCTCCAGTATTAGATAAAGAAAACGGAAGCAGGAGGTACTGAGTCTTAAGAGCAAAAATGCTACAAAAAGACAGATAATGGAAAGAACTGAAAAGATTGTGTGCCATCGGCTCGTGATTTTTAAAACGCGTACCTTCCAAAGTTCCTTTTTCGCTTCAGAATCCTCTGCAAACACAAAATCAGATCCATGGTGTTCTGAAGCTATCTTCTGAACTATAAGTGTTTGTTCACGTGCATACGCTTCTGGTGGACATTGAGACAAAAACAAAGTTGGCGATCAAAAAACAAAAAATGTCCAATCGCAAAATACTCCATTGAAGTGTGAAGGTCATTTAAATGCTCCAAAGAATTAAATGATTTAAATAGATTTTTCTAGTTAAATCTGCGGCACTATTATGAGTTGTTAGCAAGTCAAAAACATTCTTGCCAAATTTAATCACATTAAACATCTTACCCAGCAAATTAAGATGAAACTGAAATTTTTAAATCACAGGAATTAACAGTTAGCTAGACTAATTTAACTCGAAGTCTGATTTGCACTAGCTGCTATGTATATGTCTACCAACATACTACTTAAAAATACAATCTGAGAGCTGAAACACAGAATATTAAGGATAGAACAGTCAAACCTACAACAGATTCAAACGTGAACTAGCAGTTCTTCAAATATATAGCTTATGCCCACCCTGTAGTTGATTTCTATTTTGACAGTTGTACATTATTTTACACTCAACTCTTTGATGATACACGGAACTCAAATAGATCTTTATTTACAAATTTTCAGGTCATTTAATATTTCAGGTGTCTCGAATGTGCATGGCGTGGAATGATCAAGGATTAACTCATATCCCGTTGAGAATAAAGGCTTCTAGATCTACAACTGTTAGAATGTAATAACCAGAACATGACATGTCTAAATCAAACCCACGAGACAATAATTTTGTCCATTTGTCTCCCTTATGTTGCGGTCAAGGTTTATCTTCCTAAGAAAGCACATAAACTAGGGTCACAACCAACCTCTGCAGGGAGCAGGGGATAAAATGCCTAATATTAGTCCATGGCCCCAAGGTCCACTCACTCGCAGAAGTTACAAGTTAAAGATTATGAGGACTAAGCCATATGGTGGGAAGGTTTAGCGCACCACAATCATCTAGGAAATAGTAGGTATCAGCCTACAAGCATGGTGGTTCTCGTTTTGTGTTCTAATCAAGCACACAAATAGCCTAATCTTAAATGGGCCTAAAGATATCTACCTCCTATGCAACAAAATTAGTCTCTCCTAATACCTCATTTGTTATGATTCAGATGCGACTAGCCACTCATTCCGCATTGCTTTACTGTCTTCATCAATATGTTAATTTCCTTCCTTTAAAACTCTACCCTAAACATTTACTTGTTTTTAACCATGCAAGTCCACCATCTTGTTCTTCGAACTCAAAACTCAGTCTTTTTACCTCTTCTTTATAACCCTTTTTACCACTTAACAACCACCAACAAAATGTACAGAACGGCTTGGATACTAAGATGTAACGAAGTTTTAAACTTGGTTTCAACCCACCAGTCTACACAACCCTCCTTTGTTCCTATAATGCCATAACGAAATAAAAGTCAACATTTGTCACTAGAATATTTAACAATTTATCCTCCTTCCTCTCCCAATGGAGACCACAAGTTTTAAATCGTTTACTAACAAAGCCATTACACATAATGACATATACAGACATTTCCACCACAAGAGCCATACACGAAAAAGAAGAGAGTAAAAAAGGGAGAGAAGATGAATTGTCTTGCCTCATCATAAAGTAAGTGCTTGTTTGGATAAAATTATAATCTCATCAAAATTTGAAGTCAAAGTCAAACATTAATTTCAACCACATATTCAAAAATTGTACACACTAATTATCCACAAATTTTGCGGGACCCACTACTTTTCATTCTAATCCCATTTTAATTCTTCCAAACAAGCACTAATATCAACTTCAATTTTAGAATGCATTATGGTCTATAAATAAAATGGCATATGTTGTGGCCAATAATTGGAAAGAGACATGTTTCACCTGTGCCAATAAATTCAAACATCAAAGTCGGAACTTCAGGTAAATTTTTCCCGTTAGCAATATTAATTGCCCTCACTTGAACTTCATCCATAAGCTCCACCCTTGAAACCTAGGAGCATAACAGAACAATAACATAGTGGAGAAACAATGGAGAAAATCTAACCTCATTAGCATATGCTATAATTATCAAAATATTCATATCAACTGAATCCAGTCTAGGTAGTTCAAATGAGGTCAAGTTACAATCCCTTCTTGCAGAAAGATGAAATGAACATGCAAGAACATCACTGAAAATCCTTTGCTTACAAACAGGCAATAATATAAAGTCTACCGTATGATTTCAGCAGAAATACGCAACATGCAACATCTATGATCTCGTCAAATACATACAGCTACAGAAACATCAGTATGCCAGACTGATTAGATTAATAGAAAATTTAGCATAAATCCTAACCTGTATGCCAGACATCATAGTGGCAATAGCAACATCTGCTGCATCTTTAATTGTAGGAAAGTTACACATTGCAACCTGAACCATGATCAAAGCCAACAATAAATGCAAATTTTAAGCCTAAACAAAACTCCAGAAAAAAACTAATCAACAATTTACATTACAATTGCACCAATCAAAATAATGTCACATCTCACCTACACATGCATGTGTGTGAATCAATCGAAGGAAATTATCATTCTCATTAGTAATGCATACTGATTAAGGAACAATGTGCTCTTGCCTCTCGTTAACTTTCTAATACGAGTAAGCTAACAAAAGACATTCACTCACATATGCAATACATAGCAGCACGAGTTCATGAAAACATGTTAAGAGGAGGAAAAATGATGAGCTAGTTTCAAACCAAAAAAGGACCACCGTTGTCAACAAATAGGGAATACCACTGAGTATTGTGGAATCTTTTGCAGACGTAGAGTGACTTCGGTTATAACACCCAAGGTTCCTTCACTTCCAATCATTAGACGTGTCAGATCATACCTATGAAGTTTGCAAGTACATAAGTTAACAGGGTTCTTGAGTAAAATTATTTCTCATTACTCAAAGAAACAAATTTTGCGGAAAAGCACAACAAATTGTTTCCTTTTTCCAGTAAGAATCAGAGGCCACACCAAGAATTGGTAAATTCCAACAAAAAAGGAACTAGTAGAAATGAATAATGGAACGAGAAGATTGAAAGGAGAATAATACACATTACACAGTGATCAAATAACAGAAATTTTCTCTTCTCAATCATACAAAAGGAGTACAAACTTCCCCTCAAAAGAATATAACAAACCCAGTAATCTGGGCATTACCTTTTGTTTTGATGGCACAATGCAGCACAAGTCTCTTATAATTGGCTACAACAGTTACATATGGGGGGTCCTCTCTCAGCACTCACATATTGAAAACAAGAAGCCAAGGAGGGCAATAATATTGCCTTTTGGATCTATAAAATAAATATGGGACTTATTATAACAGAAATTGGGACATAATTCAAATTAATCAAATTTTGCTGCCACTTAATATATCAGGTAAACTTGCAGGGGTTGTCAGATTGGATAGGCTACAAATTCCATATTTTCAACATTAATGGACACATGTTTCTTTTATGGGAAAATTAGGTTTGAGCTCCCCAACTTTCTGTATGGTACGGTTATGGGCCTCCAACCTACTTAAATATGTTAATTTGGTTCTTACAGACCAAAACCGTCAATATGGATGTTAAAAACACGTGCAGATTTCAATTGAAATTAGATAAAAATGTTAAATGGATTGACATTTTTGCCCTCCATCTTCAAATGTCGTGGAAGTAGTGTATAATTTTCTCATAAATATCGACATTTTGGTCAAGTAGGGACCTAGATTCATACATTTAAATAGGTTGCAAACCCAGAGCCTCACTTTAAAGGTTAGGGATCTATGACAAATTCATGTGAAAGGTCGAAGAGCCCAACTCCTATTTTCCCTTCTTTTATTTATTTTATTTTTTTAATATATGTAATGGAGACAGTATCTCCAAATTTAGTTTCGTTGCAACTTCTATCGTCCTCTCCTCATGTAACTCTAGAAGGCATGAACGTCCCCCTCCTATGTGTACTTTGTTTTTAATTAGCAGTCATGGTAAGGGTATTTCCAACACCCACCACCCCAAACACTGGGTTTAGGTTGAGGCCTAATAATCCCGCCTAGGCTTTGGTGATGTTCCAAAAAAATAATAACAAAATTTTGCTGCTGGAAAAGACCAAAGTTTGATGACAGTATGCAATTTTCAAGCAGAAGGAAAGCTAAAGAAATGTTTCTTTTATGCTGTGGAAAGTAAATACACTAAAAAGATGGAGATCGAGGTGAAAGTAAATATAGATGATATCTGGCCTCATTAGCAAACGTTCCTTTTTAAGTAACTGTTCTCAAACTTTTTTTCTGTTAATATAAGGTCAATCCAATACATTAGCAAGAAAGAGTACAAGAAGCAGAATTAGTACAAGTTCATACTGAAATAGAATCAGTCTTTACTACATGATGGGGAAATTACAATACCATTAAGCAAATAAATAATTTGTGAGTGAAGACCCACTAACAAGCATGCAACAAACAACACTTCTTATGCAGAAAGAAGCTTCCGAACTGAAAGTACGAAACATCTGCATAAGAATGCAACAATAACTACTACCAGCGTCTTGCAATCTCTGACCAAGATTATAAGAATCAAGAATGCATTAGCATTTGTCGAACCACTTGATCTAAAAGCTAAAGATGTTAGAGAGTGGCCACAATTATTTAGTTAAAATGTGTCTTAAACACGCCCCCACTTATAGGCCAGGTTTCCCATCTAAAGCCTAATACATGCAAATGGGCGGCAGTGATACTTTAACTCGAGCTTCGTGCGATATCATGTTGAATTACTTGATCTAAATTCTTAAGGGAAGGGGTCACATGTGTGCATTTAAGCGCCTTTACTAGAATTTAATTGATTTACTTAATATCTTACAATACCAAGTTACGTCAAACATGTGGTCAAGAAAAAGAAAAAACCCACTTCATTTCCTTACAATTTAACTCGAGAGCCTCATTTTTTAAACTGCAAAATAATCAACTGCGAATAGTCATAGAGGAAAAAGAAAAATGACACCTACTCATATTACTGGTAATCTATAGCCTCCTCTTCTTCGCAATCCTACCCATCAATGATATAGATAAAAGGATAGAAGTTTATTCCTTGTGATTATTGGAAAATGCTTTCACTTGTGTTCTTCATAGTAAGTTAAGATGCTCGAAACAAAGTATAAAGATAAAGATTTTATAGAATAATGTAAATAATGGATATAAAAAAGGGACACACCCTGCAGCGCTTTTCCTTGCGCGGGATCCTGTCTTGACGATGTCTCCGTTGGCTAGAACAACCTACAAGAAAGAAACATTGTCGATGTTATGTACATCAATGATCACACACACATTTAATGAGGTTAAAACGAACCTTAAGATTGATGACGTTATCGCGCATAGTTCCATACCTACATGCTAGAAATAAGAATAATTAACCACACAATGAAATGCAATAATATTGTCACAAAATATAGATTTTTCTCACTCTAAGCTATAGGCAAAGGTTATTTATGCTAGATATGAAGATCAGTAGAGCAGCAAGCGAGGCTGCTGGTGGAACAACAATTTGACTACGTATGCTGAGCACTGAGAATTTTTATTAATATATACTATAGCAACTCAATCATGGCAGTTTGAACAAAACTATAATGTCAATGCATGAGACGGTAACCAATAAATGGTAAACTTAAAATAGTGCCTCATTCAGAAAAATTCTCATCATTTTTATCAATGCCCAGATGCTCAAAAGGAATGGTGTGAAGTAAATAACATCCATATTTATAGAATTGAAGAAGCGAGGTATTACCTTACAGCTAAAGAACCAGAGCAACGTGTAGCACACATTCCCCCTATTGTTGCTCCAGGACCTGCCAATTAGGAAGGTTTTATTACATAGTACTTGAATATATAAATGATAAATCTCTTTGGTTGATTACGTAATAAGGCTACGAGAGTGAGCTTTACTATTTTCTTTCTTCACATGAAACCACTCAAATGACTATATAACAAGCAGATACTTAAAGCAAAAAAGGACATTTACTCGATTTCAAACATCATCCTAAAACAGAAATCCTGAAGTAAACACAAAAGTTCTGTTGAAGTTGGAAACTATAGAAGCACTGACTGACAAAGATCAAAAGAAGCTGACCTGGATCAAGAGGAAAGAATAGGCCATAAGGCTCCAGGTATTCATTAAGTTCCATCCACCCAATCCCAGGTTCAACAACCACATCCATGTCCTCAAGATTTAATGATTTGATGTTCTACAATTTAAACAGTTTTCAAGGTAAGGAATTTGGAAAATTTCCAATTATGGTTACAGATATTATTGCAATTGATGACAGCCTCCTAGTGTAGTTACTGCACAGATGTTGAAACCAACCAAGTTTAACTTTCTGGAAAAATATGACCTGATAAACATATGGCAAGAGTTTCGGAAATAAGACCTGAATAAACATAAATGGCAAGAAAGATTCAACATTTGAAGAAAACCAAAGAAGACATAAAATCCAAGAACCATAGAGAAAAGACATTTAAGTATTATATCATGAGGAGTGCTAGGTAGAAGTAAGGCCAGTGGAAATATCAGAGCAAAACTAATGTTCACCAACTACTTGAGCCTTTTATTGAGAAAACAATATTATCGTATTCAATTTTTTTTATTGTTCTTGATATCCATCTACCCACACATTCTTTTCATCTATGTAGAACTTACTTTAAATGGACAGGACCCTTGAGCTAGAAAATTTTTGTTATCTTATCATGTTTAAGTATTAGATTTCAGATATTTTTTTATTTTTCTTTTATTAGGGAAATAAATTTGTGTTTCATTCAGGAAATGATCATTCTCTCATCCTGATTGCAAAAATAATATACTCTTTTGGTGGTTTATCTCTTTTAGATATATGGTATGCGAATATGCATGGTTAGATATCAGTGTTTGATTATTTTCTATATCATGGTTTTGAGTTATCTTTCATGTATTTGGAGACTCATGGTCCACTATTCTACTTTTCATCTTTTATCAATTAAACTTTCACTTAAGCCACATAAATAGAAATGACAATATGATTTGACAATTATAGTCATTCCTGAAAAGATAAGAATGAAATAAGATTATCAAGCCAGAAAAACGATTCATTTCAACACTAAAAAGAAAGGCGGGTCATCTTGTAAATCTTAAGACATCAAATCAAGTCTGGTATATACAATTTGCAGTACTCATACTTTCATTTGAGTCATGTCAATACAAACGCCACCATTGGGGGATAACGTGTGGCCCTCAATTGATGTAGCTCCACCATAGGGAACAATAGGGACCTGATTTAAAAAAAAAGGGTTAAAGTAGAGAAGTAAAAATCAAATGTAGTAGGCACTTAACTAAAATGACCAAAACGATGCGGATTAATTGATGGGGTATAACTTCCTTCCATAGTAATTATCAAAATTTGCTCCTCTTTAACAATTTATTTAACCCCTACACAATCTGGAAGAAAAAAAATTACTCATGGTACTAATAAACTCAAATCAGAAACTTCGAACAAAATAGAAGCTCGGACCTTGTGCTTGTTACAAGATTTAACAATCTTGGACACCTCCTCTTGAGACCTGCATTGGGCGAGAAAGCCAGGAACTTGAACATGATGTGATTCCAAAAGAAGAAAGCAGCTAAAAGCTATGGAAATATGTTTAACCTCTTCAATGTCATTTGCAATAAACTGCTAAATCATTTACAGAGATAAGGTAATGCTTGCTCGTTTTCTTTTTGTTTCTATTCTTTAACCAAATGACAGGATGAACTGCTTACACAACTTACTGCAGATCATGGAATTAAAGCTTCATTGTATCACAATTACCCATTGATATGCAAGATACAGCGTGTGGTAACCCACTTTCCACACTACCTGTTCTTTCTTGCAATCATGAATTTTGATTTATAAAAGCCACTCAGTCACCCAAAAAAAAGAGAGGAAAAAGAAAAGAAAAGAAATAGAAAAACAATTCTCCACTTTCAATTTACAAACAGCTGAGTTTATGAAGATTCTTATCTGATTAAATCAAGAAAATTCAAAATACTTATTAAAAACAGGAAAACGAAGATATTTTCTTTCTTTTTTTTTTTTTTTTGGTTTGAAAAACCTCTCGTGACTCGTCTTTTTTATTCTAACCCTAAAGTTACTGGCAATTGGAAATTTGGAATGGAAAGATTAAATATATCCTAGTTTGTTAGGAAATATTATAGTTTAGGATTCTTATCATTTCTAGAGATGGCAAAAAAAACCGCCCCGCCCCGCCCCGCCCCCGAATGGGGCGAAAAAAACAGCCCCGAGCGGGTCCGAACCCGCCCCGTGAACCGTTAAAAAAAAAGTATCTAGAATACATGATGAATAAATGTTTTTTGGAAGTAGAGTTATGGATTTATGTTCTTAAATTTGATGAACAATTTTTTTCGGAAGTAGAGTTATCTTTTTCCTTAACCGCATAATTGAAAATTTTTTAGAGCAAAAAAAAATTATAAAAAAAATAAGAATAAAGCTACGTGTACACAATTTTTTACACAATGTTTTACACCCCCCCACATGGAGAGGGGCCCACACATAATAAAATAATTGTGGGCTCCCCTCCATGTGAGGGGGGTGTAAAACATTGTGTAAAAAATTGTGTGTACACATAGCACCACTCAAAAAATAAACGGGATAGGGAAACATTCCTGCCGCTCGCCCCGAGATAGGGTAGGGCCGGGGTGCCCCCGAACCCGCCCCGTTGCTATCCCTAATCATTTCCTTTCCTTTTGCGATAGGACTATTCTCTTATATATAGGATAGATCGTAATGAGTATTTAACATTCAATAATTCAATTCCGCCTAAATTCTAAGTCTGTCTATGCCACTGATCATTGGCATTCTTGCGACTCCTCAGCAGACACCAGAATTCCTATTCTACAGCAGCATGTTATTGGATTTTAGATTAGCTTAATACAACTATGATTTTTAAGTACTTTGTGGTAGGAATGTGGTTTCCACACTTTTCCTGCATCAAAAGAAAATTCTCTTACATAACCGTTACTTTAAGTCCCCTAAAATTAAGTAATATTCTTACGAAAATTACGTTTAAACAGTTGGACCCAGGATATGCCAACTTACATACCCCCAAACCACCTACATTAATTTGACACTGATAATCGCAAATGTAATTGCAACTCACAAAGAATTAACTCAAATATGAAGGACATACATCACTTCAAATAAATTTCAATAAAAGAGCAACAACTACAAGAAAATATGCCGATCAACAATTTATAAATTTTCCCTGACACTTTAATAATCAAAGCACCCCTACTATCATTTTCATAACATTCCTTGACAAGAAGAATAAGAAAAAAAAATGTTTGGACTGCACTTTCCTTGCAAAGAAAAAAAGATCATCTCACACAACAAGCCACGGAAATCATAGGTAAAATAACAAAGAGTAAGTAGTTCTAGAGATTTCTGAGGATCCAAGAACTAATCTCACCTTGGAAAAACAACCACGTCAGGGATGTTCACTGCTTTATGAAAGCTATTTTGAGGCTTCCCATGGATGTATCTATCATCATAGTCCATTGTCATGTTATCCTACATGCAGAATAACATTATAATCCATTCAAAACAAACAAAAAGGTCTGCAATCATATCCACTCTTCCAACTCAAAATTCAAAAGAATGAATGTAGTTAAAACATTTTTATTTTATTTTTTTTAATGCAGAAAGAAATTCAAAATGCTATATTCAACGAAGAAACAATTGTACGAGGAACTGGAAGTTAACATTAAAAAAGAGTAAGATTGAGTAATAAAATGCTGAAGTGGTGTTGAAGAAAAAATCAACACTTGAATAATGTCAAAATGGAACTCCAGCTCAATAGCTAAATCGAAGGGCTTCAAGTGGGAAAGAAAGTACCTGGCAGATGTCCTTCAATTGATCAATAAGATCTTGTGGAACTTTTCTATACGAACCTTTGACCAGATATTCAGTACTGCCTTTGCCACCAATGCTATTACCTCTAAAAACTCAACGGAATAACATAATATTAAACAAAAAATCTATATAACATCATTCATGTTCCTAAAAAATATAATTTTCCATTAAGCGAGTTCTTGAAACCATAAGGGTTCCAACTTCATAACTTCCAATGGATTATTACAGTAAAATTCCTTTTCTTATTAATCCACTTAAATGTTTTAATATGCATCCATCTGCCACAAAAAAAAAAAAAAAGGCTACCAACATTAAAACCTCCAAACAAAACCAACTCATATATAATGTTAGAAAAAGTCCAATCTTGTTCCCTTAAATGAATTTGTGATGTAGAATGTCCATAAATTTCAATCAAAACTCAGAAAAGACCCCAACTTCAAAACTTCCAAACCTTAACCAATCCATCATAAATTCAAAATAAACAGAAAATATCGAAGAAACTAAAAAGGGGTGTAATAGTTACATTTGATTAACATTTGGGGCATCACAAATATAAGAAAATTATTTGTTTTAAAACTTACTTATTCACTTATAAGAAAAGTTCTTGAGCTTAGCCAAACATGCTGTAAAACCTCTTAACAGAACCAACAGATATATAATGAGGGAAAAAATCTCATCTTGTTTAGTTAATTGAATTTGTCAGAGAAACATCTATAACTTACAAGCAAACACGGAAAAGAATCCAACTTCAAACTTCCAAACCGTGACCAATCCATCAGATTTTAAGAAATAAAAATAAAAATAGAAAATAAGCAAGAAACTGAAAGGGGTGTGACTGTTACATTTGATTAATATTTGGGGCATCACAAAATGATGAACCATCGTTGTTAGGAAATTGCACAGCAAGTGAGCCAGCAGAGGCAGCTAAAGCCATGAGAAGCAAAGGGTTGGACCATGAGGATTGAAATGGTTTTTTACTGTTTTCAGAGCCCACGATGAGAGTTCTTGATAGAAGGGTGTTCTGCTTATGGAAAAATGAGTTTTTTAGATTGGAATAAATGGGTTTTGAAGAAGAACGCAGGCGAGAGAGAAAAGAAGATAAAGCCATGGCGGAGATAAAAATTAAAGCAGTAAGCTTTTGTTTGGCTTGAACGATGGATCTGCGTAAATTGTAGTGTTGGCAACTTGGCAAAGAGGGAATGATTGCCCGTCACCACCCCGCCCCTAATGGGGCCAAAAAAACCCGCCAGATGGGTTGGCAGGGCGCCCCGTCCCGAAGCTCCCCGAACCCGCCCCGTAAAAAATACAAAAAATAATTAACTACAAATTAAAAATAAAAAATCGTTAATTAGAAGTTTTTGGAAAAAAAAAATATAAATGGGGCAAGCCGGAGCGGGACGGGGCAGCGGGCGAGGGTGCCCCGCCCCAAACCCGCCTTATTGCCATCTCTAGTCACCACTCTTTAGCAGCTAATTTTCTAAGGAATGCCTTTGTTTTTTTCATTTGTCGAAAATTAAAGTCAAATTTTTAGTCAATTATGATAAAAATTAATAAAATAGAACCCGCCTCATTGCCATCTCTAGTCACCACTCTTTAACAGCTAATTTTCTAAGTAATGCCTTTGTTTTTTTCATTTGTCGAAAATTAAAATCAAATTTTTAGTCAATTATGATAAAAATTAATAAAATATCTAATTGAAAAATCAATCGTGCTATATCATTTTTTACATTTTGTCATGTGACAATTTAAATTTTTGATAATTTTTTCATCTAATACAAACACTTACAATATCAACAAAATAGTGTACAAGTGGCATTTTGCTTGAAAAATTCACTTGTTTAAGCCCCATTTTAATTTTAAAAATGTGTTTTAAAATAGTGTTTTCTGGAAAACACATGGTTAAAAAATAAGAAAAAAATTCTATTTACCTGAAAAATTATTTAATTTGATAATGTGCAATTGAAAATGAATTTTTTGGAAAAATATTTTTTTTTTGATAAAATGGGACTCGAACAAGTATGATTCGTAAAATATATAATTAAAATTAATTATTAACTTTAATTAAAATTTAAATTAAATTTTTAATCCCTACTAAAATGGAATTTATAAGAAAAAGGCAAGTTCTAAAATAATAATAATTTTACCCATGAATGGTTCTCAAAAAATAAATTTGTTTTATATTGACGCACTTTGAAAAAGTAATTAGTATGTAAAATATTTGATTGGGTGAGTCAAGAAATTGATACAAGATGGACAAACCTTTTATTTTTTGTTTTTAAAATTTAAAGGTAAAATTATTTTTTTATTGTCAACTGCCATAAGAAATAAATGGCAAGTAATGGAAAGGACATGTTGTGCAAATAATGATCGATTTGAAGGTCGAAACGTCTAAAGTAAAATGGACCATACTAGAAGTACTACATGGTTTACAAACTCACTTACTCACTATACAGCCGCCATTTTTGAATTCACGTGGGGCCCGCATTTTTTGTGGTAAAAATGTGTTATTATCCAAGTAAAATTATATGAACGATTTGCACAATGAATCCAAGCAATATGAACAATTTATATCAATTACCATTTATAATTTGTTTATAAACAATCAAATTACCTTTGATCCACGCATTTTATAAAATCAAAAGTACTAATCATTTTTATTTATCTATAATTTAAACCATTTATAAACAACTCAAAATATGAACCATCAATCTAAAATAACGGGAAATCTTCCTATTATGTTTTTAGCTCCTGATTGATGGAGATTAAAATTAGATTTCTAGTAAATTTTGATAAAAGTTGATAAAATATATGGTTGAAACGTTGTTGACTCTTAAATATATTATTAAAATTAATTGTGAAAATTGATTTATATCAAAATCTAGATTTTAATGTCTACCAAACATAGGCTTAATAAACATCATAACATCGGAAATGATACAAGACGTGAAGAAACTTTCACTATGCCAATTGGAGATTTGTATGAATAACTGTAAGTAATAGTTCCCAAAAAAACCTGTGATCTACAGTGTACATGGAAAATTGAAAAACCGGGTTTTGACGAATTGTCCGTTTGGTGCATTTGGAACTGAAGATCTTGTTGGATAGATAATGGAGTCATGTCCGATGCTGCATAATAAAGGTGCATTTATCATATATCATACAGGTCTGGTTGCTAGGGGAACCACCTCGGCCAAAGGAGTTGACAGCGGCGTTGGCATGGGCGAGTTTCTGCACACCGGGCAGGTGGGGTGCATCCGCAGCCACGGGTCGACGCACCGGAGGTGGAAAAGGTGGCCACAATCCGGCAGCCCCCGGATCATATCGCTGTTCTTGTAATCTGCCAAACAAATGGAACAGCATGTGGCTGAGGAGTCCTTGTGATTCACTTTAGCCGCCGAGTAAAGCATCTTGGGGTAGCTAGTGATGGTGGCCTCATCAAGTCCGACGTCTATGACAAAGTGTTGCACGGCATCCGACGGCGGCGGGGCAGCCGCCCTCCGCGGCGGTGCAATTGTTGTATTTCTGGTGCAGTAATATGACGCCACCGTGATGGTTGTGATTAGGAGGAGGATTCCGACGGAAACTCCGATGCCGTAACCAAATCCACTGATGTTTTCGGAGCCCATAAATCCCCCGGAGGTGGTGGTGCTGTTCATGATCTATGCTGTAGATGGACCAATATTGGAATGGGACAAAATCGAGGTGGTTTAATTAGGTCAACCATGAGGATATGCAGAGAGATAATGGAGGTTTTCATATATGTAAGAAGTCAACGGTAACATGAGAAATTGAGGGAGCATTATTTCGGGGAAGACGCATTTGAAATCAAAAGATGAAAATGAACCGTTCAAAGTGTAACGATGGTTAAAAGCAATGGCCACATGGCGGATTTATAAAACATTTATTAAATCTTTACACACAACACAAATGTTGGTGTCCGAACTTATAATTGGTCCCATTTCAAATATTAGTAATAGAAAACACAAACCACGTAACAAGGTCGGATCAAATGCTCATCCAAAGAGCTTGTTCAAGTACATGAATCATTTGTGAACATAATTGTTATCCCCTAAAAAAATGTTTCTCGGTGATATCACACAAACCACATACCACGGTTGAATCAGATGCTCTCACTCAAGTACACGAGTCATTTGTGAATATCATTGTTATCCCCTAAAAAATGTATCTTAGTGATATCATCATCTCTTTACACAACCATCCTTGAGAAAACAAGTGTCACTTCTAACGTCGACATCTCTTTGATTCATTAATTTGAATGAAGCAATGATCACCTAAGTTGCAAGCTATCATGACTTGGGTAGTAGCTACGATCCATGTAAAAGGATTGCATATCTGATTGAAACCAACAGCCAATCAAAACTCTTCAATCACAACGATGACACACATATCGAGATTGAAGTTGTAGCTTGATGTGAAGGATGACGGCTGACCCTTGGTTAGATACTTATAAATAGGCGCAATGGTCCATACTAAAGATCGAACCCGTGCTAAACTTTGTAATACATTCTCTACGCCATCTTTAATAAGAATCGATTTTCCTCTAATAATATTCTCGCAAATATTTCACATAATGCTTCATAAGTTGATCTAAATTGTCACGTGATTTTTAATCATCGACAACAAATATGATACATTTGACACAAAGAGGCTATAAATTAATATGATATATTTTAATGAACAAAAAAAAAAAAAAATCATTATTAAGTTTTGTCCGTTACAAAAATAATCAACAATACCAATGTTTTTCTATTGATCGAGTTTTGGCTTGTAAGTAATTAAAATGTCAACGGTTTTGAGTCCTTTTTTTATCCTTTTTATTTACGTTTGTTAGTTGTTTCATGTGACCAACTCCCTGAAATTAAATTCTTCACCTATTTAAATAATTATATTAATATTAAATTCAACTCTCCTTTTCAACTTTATTGTCACTCTTGTGCACAACGCACGTTCTATGCATCATAAAGTAAGATTACGATGTGTGTAATTTACTTATTTTATTAAAATAAGGTGGCCGTCCCAACTTTTTGCATGTATGACATTAGGATTTTAGGATGGAAGTTTTTCAAAAAAAAAAAAAAAAAAGAAAAAAAAAAATAAAAAAACAAAAAGAAAAAAAAAAAAAAAAAAAGGTCAGATTGAATAAAAAAAAAATAAACAAAAACAAAAAAAAAAAAAAAAAAAAAAAAAAAAAAGGAAGAAAAAATCTAAATAAACAGATTAAATGGGCTCATGTGAACTTCGATCTTTGATGTTCAATAAGTAGGATTGAGCTTCTACTTTATTTTATTATTTGTGGAAATTACATCAAATCAGAATTTTTAAGATTCAATTTCAAAAATCAGATATAAATTTTATTTATACAATAATCAGATATTATTTCAAATATTTAATATTTTTAATACCACAAAAATTCATTTCGAACCCTAATTAATTCCCCCTCTCATCTCTCTCTCTCTCTCTCTAAACCATCTCCATCTCTCTCTTTCTCACGGCAGTCAACAGTAGGCAGTCGGCGTCCACCTCTCTACCAGTCGAAGCCCAATCACGGCAGTCGGCATCCCCCTCTCTCTACATCGCGGCCCAGCTCTCCCCCCCTCTCTCTTTTTCTCACAATAATCGGCATCCCCTCTCTCTACCCATCGCGGCCTTGCCAATCTGCTCCTCTTGCAGAGGTACCGTGCAATCGCTAAGCCGGCGCGTCGACACCACTGCCCGCAACGATGCGATGGCCTCTGCATGCTTGCAGCATCGCTGCGTGCAGTGGAGCGGGGAAGCGGATTTGGGGATTTTTTTGGTGGATATGGTGTAATGGAGATGGTGGTTGTGATTTTTTTAGTGGCGGGGTGGTGGTTTTGAAATTGAAAATAGTGGTTTTGAAGTTGAGAGCTGTTGGTGGTGGTGATGGCGGTGTTGGCGGCGGTTCATGCGGTGGTGGTAGTGGTGTCAAATGAGCTGAACGGCTCGCCCGCTCGGCTCGTACTGCTCACGCCTACGAGCCGCTCGGGCTCGTCAAAAAACAAGCCAAATCAGATATTATTTCAAATATTTAATATTATTAAGACCACAAAATTCATTTCGAACGCTAATTAATTCCCCCTCTCATCTCTCTCTCTCTCTCTAAACCATCTCATCTCTCTCTTTCTCACGGCAGTCAACAGTAGGCAGTCGACGTCCATCTCTCTACCAGTCGAAACCCAGTCACGGCAATTGGCATCCCTCTCTCTCTACCTCGCGGCGCAGTTCTCTCCCCCCTCTTTTTCTCACAATAGTCGGCATCCTCTCTTTACTCGTCGCGGCTTTGCCAATCTGCTTCTCTTGCAGAGGTACCGTGCAATCGCGAAGTCGGCGTGTCGACACCACTGCCCGCAACGATGCGATGGCCTCTGCGTACAGTGGCGCGGGGAAGCGAATTTGGGGATTTTTTTGGTGGATGCGGTGTAATGGAGATGGTGGTTGTGATTTTTTTGTACAAGAGGTAGTGGTACTGTTTTTGTTGGTCGTGACATTGATGGTACGATGGTGTTGGTGGTGCGGGTGATGGTGGCTGAATTGACACTGGTGGTTGTTTTTGTACTTGAAAATGGTGGTTTGTTAGTGGCGGGGTGGTGGTTTTGAAGTTGAAAATAGTGGTTTTGACGTTGAGAGTTGTTGGTGGTAGTGATGGCGGAGTTGGTGGCGGTTCATGCAATGGTGGCGTTGGCAGAGGCAATAGGACTTTACGCTGGTGTTGTGTAGATCTGACATTGTTGGCAGTGGTGAGGTAGTGGTCGCAAGTAGTTATGGAAGTGGTGGCGCGACGTGGTGTTGGTGGTGGCGACGGTTAAGTGGGACCAATAGTGTTTGTGACCAGTAACTTGGTTAATCGTAAAAAAAAAAAAATTGAGTAATTTGTGACAAATATATCATATATGATTTAAAAAATGTGATTGTGACTCACAATTTACTAAGTTGTGATTGCGAAATAACCTGTGACCAATTAATTTGACAATTTGTGACCATTAAATAAGTTGTGACGGATGTGAACGATAAATGAACTGTAACTTATAAGCACGTTGTGACCGATAAATAAATTGTGACGTATAAATTTTTGATTTGTGACCTATGAAATTTTTGAATTGTGATCGAAAAATAATTTATGACATATAAAATTTTGTGATTTGTGACCGATGAATAAATTGTGACCTATAAATTTTTGATTTGTGATTTATAATTTTTTTTGAATTATGACAGTAAAATAATTTAATTTACGACCATAAAATAATTTACGACATATAAAATTGTGATTTGTAACCAATTAATAATATGTGACCAAATATATGAAATTTGTGACCAAATTATATGGAATTGTAACCAAATTATATGGAATTGCAACCTTAATATATTTAATTAATAAAATATATTAGATGGTCACATTTCATTTAACTTACCATCTAGTGTCACCTAAATGGGAGTTGCAACCCAAATGAAGTTACATAACATTATCATTTTCAATTACACGTTCAAACAGTAAAATTAATTGATTAATTTAATTTCCCATTTCATTTAATTTATCATCTGATGTCACCTATGTAACATTTTTTTTTTCACATACTTATATTCAATTACGCGTTTAAACAATAAAATAATCAAACTTTTTTTTTTTTTCAAGATATTATTTTGACGAAATAATGACTATAATTTCGAGCAATCAAACCACTCAATCTAGGCTATGAGCCTATGAATCGCAATTCGCAAGTCGACATAATTTTCACGGTGCAATTTTACCTTCTAACTGTACAATTTCAAAAATTTTCAACAGCGAAGAAAAACCAAACAACATCCAACTCACAAGCCTTTTCCCAGTCATCAATGGCGATTCCGAAAACCCTGAATCCAGCAATCCACTGTCTCATCATCTTCTCAACTCTACTCCTCTCCGGAGAATCAAGAACCGACACAATTAATGTATTCTCTCCGTGCGCCGATACGAAGGTGCAGAGGAAGGATGGATTCACATTCGGTATCACGTTTGCTTCAAGGTTGGCCTTCTTCTTCAACAACAACAATTCCGTTCAGCTCTCGCCCTGCGACAATCGCCTCTCTCTTTCCAACAGAAACTCCCATGTCGCTATTTTCCGCCCCAAAGTGGACGAGATCTCTCTCCTCACGATCAATACCTCCAGCTTCTTCCCGGTACTAATACAACTTAAATAAATCTGCTTGTTGGTATTAATTAACTAATTATGGGTTTATGCAATGAAAGTAATTTTTTTCTCTGAAGAATTGCGTTTCTGATTTTTGGTTTGCTTTTTCTTAATTTTATTTCTCTGTCCGGTAGTGAATTTTTTTTTGGGTGTGGGGGTTCCATTGTTTTCTCTATTGGAAATTCCTTTTGGTGGGTTAATAACGTCGAAATGGAACAGGAGATTACTAGATTACAGGGGAATTTGCTACATTAAATAATATCTGAAGAAACGGAAGAAGATTACAAAATTGGCTTACACTTATAGCAAAATGAACTATATAATTGTTGTCAGAAAGTATAATTTGGGAATATACATTCTTGTTACCTTATTGATGACTAGATCAAAACCTCAGAGAGTTGCGTTGTGTGTGAATCACGTTGTATCCTTAATTTGGGTGCTTGATATAGCCAAATGCACTTTGCTCGTTTAGATTTTTGATTTCTTTTGGTATTAGACTGATAAAATAAGGGCATATTGTGGTGGATCATTTGCATCTGATTCTTTGTATATATGTCGAGTCAATGCAAGGGGATATCATTATGTATGAAGACTCGAAAAACAATTGAGGGATTGCCTAAAATATCGAATGTGAGCATGTAGATGACACAGCTGGTTCTAGTATTTGATTTTAGAAGTTTTCCATTATTATCGAGATGTATTATAGTTTAAACGATCCCTGTCATTCCTAATTTGATTTAGCCTTCTCAGATTCACAAATGTGGCAAAAAACTAATCTAATAGATTAGGTCCGGCATTCCAGAGATGTAAACTAATTTGAATAAAGAGTGTATAAAAGGACTTAATAAACCATTTATGAATGATAATAGGAAAA